CCAATCATTGTAAGATGATTGATTCTTGAATGCATAGCAACCCTAGAGACAGGAGTTCAATCGTCATCATCGCCTGCAATAAGCCGTTAGCTTCATGAATAAATAATTTTATAGAGTAGAAAAGAGCTACGAAACTGCTTGCATTGTTAAAATTCAAGCAAATAATCCATACTATATATCATGAGTTTACTTTACTTGACACAATTTCATAAAAATAATTGACTTGAGAAAACTATGAGATGGCCAACACCCATCATCTTATTATTTCCAATCACAATTTACTCCATTTAAGCAATCACATTCTTCCATCAATTCAAGGCAAACATCATTGGCATTATATTGTATGTTTTCCCCTCTTCCTATTGATAATTGCGAAATATCATTGGCAATGGCACACATTATATAGTTTCTGTTGCCTCTTTTTTTCCTTTTTTTTTTTTAACAAAGTTAACAGAGTTATACATGGTATTTATTATAAGTTACTTTTAATTACTCTATTGAAAACAAGGAATGACAATTAAGTAATTAACTCATTAAATATATTTTAAAATGAGAAAAAACTTCTAACCTTATTCTTATTAAAAATAGGAAGAGAGATACACAGGTCCTAAAATTAAAATTTACAACAACAATAAAATTAAAAAATGATAATAAATAATTATCTATCTACTATTATGGATAAAAAAATCTTTTTGGAAAATGTATGCAATAAGGACTTAGAGGGAGGATATATTATCTACAGTTACTTTTTTTCATTCCTTATTTTTCTCATTTAATTCATGTACAAGTATCGTGCTTATTTGAGTTGGAACATTTTCATTGAAGAGACTATAAGTGATGTGATCCCACAGCACCTGACAACTGAGTACAGGCACAGCTGTGTGGCCGTGTCACGTTTTAAAAGTATCGTTAAATGAGGGAGACCAAGACTTGAATTATTATTAATATATCTCAAACTTATTTTGTTGATTATATTTTTTCCTACAAGTATCATATAGAATTTTAAGGGAAAGTATAAATATTAATATATGTAGTTTTAACATGTTTTAGCATAGGTTCTTGTAATTTTTTTTTGTTTCATGTCCCTTTAACTTATCTTGTCTGCAGTATTTACCCTTTTATTTTTGAATATGTCCAAAAGAATTATGAGGAGACACTAGCAATGTTAAATATACCAACATGTAATTAATGCCGTTAAACTTTGTACTGAGATGGATTTATGATTCAGCAAATTGAGTTATTGAAACATGAAATAGGATGGGACAGAAAATGTTGTTAATGTGCTAAATCATAATTTTACCTAAACACAAATTAATGACATTAGTCATATGTTAACATATTTAACATTGCTAGTGACATTTCATGGCCTTTTTAGGTATGCTAAAAAATAAAGGAACTAATGTTATAGACAGAGTAAATTAAAGGAACTTGAAATAATGAAAAAAATTATAGAGACCGATGCGAAAATATGATACGATTATATAGACTAATAGCTATGTTTTCCAATCTTTTAAATATTATAACTGTATAAAACTTATCATCAGTATATATTATAAAATGCATAGCAAGCTAAAAGATATTCTCCAAATTCCATGTAATATAAACAATATTGGGTTTTTTTTTAAACAAAGAAACTATAAACAACAATAAAAAAAACACCAAAATGCTATACGGTAGGAATTATTTCCCAAAGTACTGCGCATAAAATCCTTCTTGCATTGAACTATTTACAAAATTAATGACACCAAACAATTTCTAAACTTCAACTCTAGCCCATCATCTACCCCTAATAAATGAAATTAATGATTTGTCTAATGATTTAATAATCATTTGAATGAAAAATGATGAGTAAATAATTGGAGAGAAAAGTGTTAATAATTACATAATGTTACTCATATGATTAAGGAATTATTATAAGGTTGTATTAAATTAAAAATTATTAATAATAAATAAATATTAGGTTTTATAAAATTTAATAACAAATGATTAAGTTATATGAATGAAAAGTAAAAATTAATTTACTTACAAATAGTGACTTCTGGTATCATATCTTGTTCTCCTTCTCATACATTGTGGTGGGTGTTGTTGTTATTGTATGTTCCCCTCTTCTTGAGATTCAAGTGTTTCATCCATCTATGTAGTTGATATATCTAAATCAAATCAAGTGATTCAACTAAAAAAATCAATTGTCGAAGGGTAGCATATGCTTCATTTAATAGTCCACCATGTTTAAAAGTAGAAGTGTTGTATTCAGCTGAAAATAATACGAGATCATCAAGTAAAGACATGAACGATTCAAATTGAGTAGGAGTGGGTGAGTTAAAAAGGGATAGTGGTAAAGATGGCATGTAATGAGACTCGAATTGAATAAGGCTGGGAAAGATGAAAGGGAGTGATGATAATGATGATGCTGGCACATAATGAGATTCACTAAAATTTTGAGGCTCTTATTCCCTTACATTCACATCTCATATTTAAGCATTTTGAAATTAGAGTTTAGGCAAAATCATTCAAAATCAATTCTAATCCTCAAACAATCAGCACCCACTATTCTAGAAATAAAGAGAAACTTCCAACAACTTGATTTTATCCATCAATTTCAGCCACAACATTCCAATGATAAAAAATACCAAGATTCAATAGAAATCTCCATAAAAACTCAAAATCTTGCTAGAATGAGGAAGGAAGGGAATAAGAACTTACCTCTTGTGATTCCTAGCTCTATAACTTTTTAAATCGTTGGAAAACTCTTGCCCTAGCAAAGTTTTCCCCTTCTCCCAATGCCCTTTCTCCTATTCTCTCTATTTTTCTATGTTTCTAGCATTTTATAACACCTATATGATGTTTTGATCGCAGATGGTTGTGCATGTTGTAATCATGTCCAGTTGCTATTGAAGTCACTAATCCAAATTTACTCCTCTATTCATAACCGCGGATGGTTGTCTCCACTAAAAAGATCAACCATGGATTGTTGTGAACAGATAGCACACTTCTCTTCCAAGAATGCTCATCCACGAGTGGTAACCACTTGTTGGATTACAACCATAAATGGTTATGGATAGTGACCAAATTTTTTCTTAAAGTTTTCATTTAAACCCCAAATCTTGCTTCACATTACTCCTAATTAAAATTTTAAGACGTTATAATGTGATAATACTTAAAGCTTCTTATTCTTTTTACTTCAAGAAGAAAGTCAAAAAACTTAAAATAGAAAAGTAGAATTTGCAATCCAAAATAGGAGATGTTCTTGATTGAGCTAAAGAGGCTAAGAAAAAACTGAGCAAGTCGTTAATGAAGTTGAGACATGGATGGTCATCCAAAACATTCAAATAATAATATCTCATGTTTTTTTGTTTAATAACAATAATCATGCACTTGCAAGAGTAATTTAGCCACACAACACAACCTCATCATAAGATACATAGCTCAAGCTAAATTATAATCATATTAGTCTGTATAAATCATGTAAGTACAACTAAAATAATCATATGTTTCCTAGTTGGTAATGTATACATATATTCAATTACACAATATAATTAGCCAAAGGTTTAAGGGCAATTAAAAAGAAGCAAGGCTTGTTTACTCTTTGCCTTGACTAGCTTCCCCCTTGCTCCTACCAATGTTGTCACATTTAAAATTGTAACCACGAGATAAGACAAAGTCTCAGTAACTAAATAAAATATACTACTTATGAAAAGCCCTAGTCATCTCAAGCTTTTAAAAAAAACTAAGGTGTATTAGCATGAACATCCAGGTCATTCTATCCTTAAGGAGTAAGCTACTGAAATCAATTCAAGACAATAATTAGATCAATAAGACTAAAAATGATTACACATTGAACTATTAAAAATACCTTACATTTTTTAACATCTAACCCCTCAAAAAATGCCTTATATTTTTTAATGGAGGGAGTATGCAATTAATGCAATATGCCAACCTACTAGCTAGCCAAGACATAAATGAGTATGCGAAGTGGGAGCACAAAATATAACACATAATCATGGCATACAATAATATATATATATATATATATAAAACATAGGTCACAACATGCATGATCCACAATTCCATCCAAACATCCTCAATACAAATAACTAAACCTGTAGGCTAACAAAACAACGAAGCCAAGTTTATGTGACTAAACTAACCCAATCTCACCAAATAGGGAAGACAACTTGACCAAGGTTACATTTCACTTTTGTACCACAATTTCCCTCTTTTAAAATAATCAAGATATCGCATGCCTGACTACTATTGTAATATCCTAGAATCTAATTAAGGATTAGATTAATGAATTAGAGATTTATTCAATTAATTAGGTTAATTAGGTGTCAATAATTGGGCCAAGATGACCATTTAGGCCTATTGGACCCCCTAAAGGGTTTAGGTTAGGGCATTAGAGGATTTTGGGCAAATTGGACCCAGAAATTGGGTTTAAGTTAAGCTATCTATTTTGGGATGTTTGCCGTAAAGAACAAGTGTGACTCACCATGGCAATCGCGTCAGAAGTTTAAAAATCACATATGCGACCAACTTTCACATTTTGAGGGTTTTGAAGTGGTTTAGCATAGAGAAAGACAAAAAGCTCTGCTAGAATTTTGTATTAGTGAACATAAGAATTATTTTTTGAAATTATAATTTCAAAAAGTGTAAGTGATGATTAAAAACAATATAATGTTAACAACAATATATGGCAAAATTTTAGATTTGGTAAATCTTTAATTAATATAAGAAAAAATTAGGGTAGTTAATGTTTTTCTTTTTTTAAAGCTTGCCTCGTATTCATTCCCTGATTCATTCATTCATTCATTTATTCATTTATTATCATTGATTGAATAGCTATACAACAATTTATTATAGTTATTAATTGTAAAAAGAGGAAAAATTAAAAAGTTATATACTTTTGAATAATTTTAAGAATATAACTATTATTTTTTAATAAGTATTGGTCAAATTTGTTTTATATTAAAAATAAAAAATAATATACCGAAGTGAAACAGCAAAACCCTAACTGTTCCAAACTCTGCGAATGTGTTACATATGGAGGAAATACGAAATCAGGAACAACATCGCCATGAAGAAGATGATGATGATGACACCATTAGCTTAGACGGATCGTTTTTCTTCAATGACAAGTAGCTTCTTCTTACTTTCTCTCTGTACTTTAAGTATATCATATTTACTGTTTTTGTAATGGAGTTAATTGGATTTTCCAAGTTACCAGCTGACGAATTTTACATTTGGGTCTCAAGAGATTCAGCTCTTCTGTCTCCATGCTGCTTCTAGTGAGTTACTTCCTACCCATTTCGAAGATTTTCATTTTTAGAATTGGGAAAAAATATCTAAGATGTTTCTGTTGTTGAACTACCTATCAAGTTTGATTGTGCTAAAACTACATTTTCTATCTTTTTTGTTGTGTTCGCAGCCTCATTTCTGCTTTACACATATCAGATAAATCACTTTATTTATAATCACTGTGCAGAGATCCATTTGACTCTGCACTTCAACACTTTTAACTCGTTAATGACAGATTTTTTCCTGTCCTCTTGTGAATATGTTTGGTTGAACTAGGATTGAGTTCCGATACAATTCAATATATCTCATTTTCAATAACCATGTAAGACTGAGGAGAAGAAAACAAGAATGATCAAGAAGTAAGCAATCAAGAAGTAAATAATTTGATGGGCCAATGGCCATTTCTTTAATGTCCTTATCATGGTCTATCATTTCACTTGGATGGAGTATTGTTGTAAGGAAATAGCGTGTTGTTATTTTTAAGCGCACTTCCCTTCATAACTCAATTTATCATGATGATTAATTGGCTCTGCTAGCCATATGCTGTGCTACTTCCTTTCCTTGGTAAGTAATTCTAAGACTATTTTAATCAGTGACCAAGTTTACGTTCTCCATTATGTATTGATCAAATATTTCCCCCACAGCCATTGTCTAGAATATCTAGAGTCAGTGTCCAGAATTATTATCCATTTGATGAGTAGTGTTTGAAAAAAAGGGTTCTCCATGTGACCTTAATGGGAATTTGATTGTTAGAGGGTTCAGAAGCATCAGATATTGAAGGTTTTGATTTCTTGATATTTAATATATTAAGATATGACAATTCATGATTTGAAAATACCTTATCATACTGGTGTTTCTGCTGTCTATTTGGTTTAAATTAGACTGTGTACTTGTTTATGTGTTCTTGTTTTGGATATCCTTGCTTTCCTATCTTTTCCTTAATTTGAGCCACAATACTAATTATCCTTTTATCAGCCGACTTTGATTTGACAGGGCAAGTGGTGTGGCCAGGAGCCATTCTGCTAAATGATTATCTTTCAAAAAATAGTGAGATCTTTCAGGGTTGCGCTGTCATTGAATTAGGTTCTGGTGTTGGTATGTATTATACACTTAAAGAGAAAATGTTTCCTGTTGTATAAAGGTAAAAACTGTTTCATAGAGAATCTGAGACTTGTGATTATTCACTATGGTATTCTAACTCCAAACTACATAATTCATTGTGCATACAGCAGTTAGATATCAGAAAATTCCTTATATGCTTGGAAGTTTTTTATGGAGAATCATCTTGTGCAATGCATATGACATAATTTCTTTTAGTGATTTTCTTTATGCATTGTCTCTACTGATAATATTATAAGATAGAACTCACTAACATTTTGCATGCCAAATTGGTGGGATTTTATATATAGTTACTATATCTACCTCTACCTAATGTAAAGTATTTTGATAACTATGATGATGGTAAAATAAGGATTTAAGTGTGCACGTGTGTGCACGTGTGCGTGTGTGTATTCTTTTTAAAAAAACACAAGGTCATCATGGGGGAGCAGATTCTTTGATGATTGTTAGGAGAAATAGTGATTCCTTGTATCACTCCCAATTTCATGACTTTGAAATTGTGCAATTACCATTCCCCTTTTTCCTTTGTTTTAGGAAATGAGTTACTTCCTCTTTTTATATTTTATTTTATTTTCTTTACATCTTTAATTTCTTTTACTAGAAAACTATCTCTTCTTTTTTCATGCTATGTGTCTTTGGTGGTTGCTACTTCATTTATTACAGGTGTTACCGGCATACTTTGCAGTAGATTCTGCCAGAAAGTTGTGTTAACGGATCATAATGAAGAAGTGCTCAAGGTGAGGTCAGGAAATCATGTTTGTAGGGCCAATAGGAGTATATCTCTGGCTTTTCATCTGTTTAGACTAATCTGGTATCTACCTTCAGATCCTGAAGAAAAATATAGAGCTGCATTCAGTTCCTGAGAATAACTGTCCTACTTCTCATGGTTAGAACAAAATCTTTTTTAAGAAAATAAGTGATTGGATGTACTAAATTCTAAATTTAATTGTATATATTTTCAGGATTAGTTGCAGAGAAACTAGAATGGGGGAACTCTGATCAGATCAATGAAATTTTACAAAATCATCCTGGAGGATTTGACTTCATTCTTGGAGCTGACATATATATCCATAATGCATCGTATCTTACTTTCCTTAGAAAGACATGAATACAAGAACAAGTTTTTTAGCTTCGGGTAGAAGTATAGAATAGAATTTATTGAAGAAGAAGTATAGATTAGAAATTGATTAGAACAATAACAATCTTGCATGTCATATGCCCTAGCCAATGATTCAATTTTCTATGTAGTTTCTACTTGAAGATCAGATAATTTATTGTTTTGTATGCCCTTATGAGATATAAGTATTAACCATACTATTATCTCTCTAAATCAGGCTTTCCATCAAGCTATTCTTTTATAGTTAAGGATTAGGAATTAGACCAATGAGTGTTCAGCTAGATAAAATTTTACTACTGAGATTTGAATAAACAAGAAAGACCGAGGTATCATCTTTGTTATTATACCTGATGATTTTTATTGACACTGGTTGGTTCAATGGTACCAGACTTCGCCTCAACTTCATTAAGGTGGTAGAGGTTGGAGGTTCGAGTCTGGGGAGGTTCCAAAAGACCCTGGAGAGGCAGTGGTGAGGAATAACCACAGTACCACCTGTGGGAAAGTCGGCTTTGGTCCAGTGATGGGCCAGAGTCCAGTACCGAGTCGAGGCCCAAGGGGTGGCTCCGTACTGTTACATAAAAGGGAAAAATTTGGACCATTTCTCGATTTGTGCGTGTCATCCTTGCGCAGGGGCTAAATGAGCAAGGGCTACCGCGTCATTCTGGACGCACGCGGCTAAAGAAGTTAGTCCATAAGAGCAAAATTAGATTTGGTACTTGGAATGTTGGGACATTAAATTGTAAATCTGTAGAGGTTGTAGGGGTTATGATTCAAAGGAAAATCAATATCCTTTGCTTGCAAGAAACAAAATGGTGTGGAGAAGGAGCTAAGGATATTCAAGGTTTCAAACTTTGGTATACAGGAAAAGTAAGTGCACGCAATGGAGTAGGCATCATTATAGATAATGAGTGGAAGAAGAACGTTGTAGAAGTTAGCAGAATTGGAGACAGAATTATTTCTTTAAAAATGATAATTGGACGTGAGACTGTTAATATTGTTAGCGCTTATGCGCCGCAAGTCGGGACAGAAGCCAGTCTTAAGGAATTATTTTGGGAGGATCTGGAGGGGTTGATTCGACACATACCACAGAGTGAAAAGATTTTTATTGGAGGAGACTTTAATGGGCATGTCGGGAGGGAAGCTGGTCAGTATGCGAGGGTGCATGGTGGTTTTGGTTTTGGAGAGCAAAACAATGAAGGGCAAACTCTTCTTGATTTCTCATTGGCGTATGATTTTAAGATTGTCAACACTTGTTTCAAGAAGAGAGATGAGCATCTCATCACTTACAAAAGTGGAGCCTCAAGGTCGCAGATTGATTTTCTTTTGGTTAGGAACACAGATAGAAAACTTTGTAAAAATTGTAAGGTGATCCCTGGAGATGCTGTAACGACACAACATAGGGTCCTAGTCCTTGATGTGTGTATTATGAGTAAAATCCAAAAACGTCGACAAGTAGTAACACCAAAGATTAGGTGGTGGCAATTAAAAGGTGAGAAGCAAGATATTTTCAAGCGAAATCTTTTGGATAAAGGAATTTGGGATTCTCAGGGAAGTGCTAACATCATATGGGAGGATATGGCTAAAAAGATACGGGAGGTTGCAAAAGTAGTTTTGGGAGAATCGAAAGGTTCTGGTCCGAGAGATAAGGAGTCTTGGTGGTGGAATAATAGTGTACAGGACAAAATCAAGTATAAGAAGAACTGTTTTAAAGCCATACATTTGTGTAACAATGAGGAAAATTGGGAGAGGTACCGTATGGCTAAGAAGGAAACTAAGAGAGCTGTGGGTGAAGCTCGTTCCAAAGCTTTTGAAGAATTTTATAAGAACCTTGAGACGAAGGAAGGAGAGCAAAATATTTATAAGATTGTCAAGAGTAGGGAAAGAAAATCAAGAGATCTAGAACAGGTAAGGTGTATTAAGGATGAAGAGGGAAGAATTTTAGTTACAGATGATGAAATTAAAAATAGATGGGAGACTTATTTTTCTAAACTTTTCAATGATGGAGAGGATTCATCTAGTAACTTGGAGGATTTAGTAACTGGTGAAGGAGAACAAAATTTGTCATTCTATCGAAAAATACGTGATAAGGAGGTAAAGGAAGCTCTCAAGAAAATGGCAAATGGTAGAGCTAACGGACCTGATTGTATATCTATCGAAGCGTGGAAATGTTTAGGTGAAGAAGGGGTGAGATGGTTAACTAAGTTATTTAATGTGATTTTACGGTCCAAGAAAATGCCTGATGAGTGGAGGAGAAGTACATTAATTCCTATTTATAAAAATAAAGGAGATATTCAGAATTGTACTAACTATAGAGGGATTAAACTCATGAGCCACACAATGAAATTGTGGGAGAAAGTAATTGAGCACAGGTTGAGATTGGAGACAAGTATTTCTGAGAATCAATTTGGTTTTATGCCAGGTAGATCAACTACAGAGGCAATTTATCTACTAAGGGGATTAATGGAAAAGTATCGTTGTAAAGATAAAGATCTACACATGGTTTTTATTGATTTGGAAAAAGCTTATGACCGTATACCAAGAGAAGTGCTTTGGAAAGCGTTGGAAAAAAAGGGAGTACGGATTGCTTATATTAAAGCCATACAAGATATGTATGAGGGGGTAAAAACTAGTATAAGAACGCCTAGTGGTCAAACAAAGGATTTTCCTATAAAGATTGGACTACATCAGGGATCATCTCTGAGTCCTTATTTGTTCAACTTGATTTTAAATGTTTTGACGGAACATATTCAAGAGGAAATCCCGAAATGTATGCTCTTCGCGGATGATATAGTTCTTATAGCAGAGACAAGAGAAGAGGTTAATTGCAAACTTGAGTTATGGAGGAGGACATTGGAGTCGAAAGGTTTTCGTCTGAGTAGAAGTAAGACGGAATATTGTAAATTTGGTAAAGGACTATTCGAAAATAATTTGGAAGTGAAATTGGGAGATCAAATTATACCTCAAGTGGAAAAGTTTAGATATTTGGGAGCCATTATTCAAAATGATGGCGAAATCAGTGGAGATATTTCACATAGAATTCAAGCTGGGTGGTTTAATTGGAGAAAAGCTAAAGGAGTTATTTGTGACCGTAAGGTGCCTAATAAACTTAAAGGAAAGTTTTATCGTACTGCTATCAGACCGGCAATGTTATATAGTAGTGAATGCTGGGCTCTAACGGGACAGCAAGAGCATAAAGTTGGAGTAGCAGAGATGAGAATGTTACGATGGATGTGCGGACATACACGTAAAGATAAAATTCGAAATGAGCACATACGTGAAAAAGTGAGGGTGGCACCTATTGAGGAAAATATGGTAGAAAATCGGTTGAGATGGTTTGGGCATGTACAAAGAAGACCAAGGGAGGCACCAGTGAGAAGAGTGGAACATATAACTTTGAGTCCGATTAAGAGAGGTAGAGGAAGGCCTAAGAGAACACTCTTGGAAATTGTTGAACGTGATCTCTTAATTAATAATATTTCTAAAAGCTTAATAAATGATAGAGCACAATGGCGTCTTGCAATCCATGTAGCCGACCCCACCTAGTGGGATAAAGGCTTGTTGTTGTTGTTGGCATTAGTTTCAACATATTTTACAGTGTTGTCACTCACCTGTACTATCAGTTTCAAAATATTTGAGTTTAGTATTTTTTAAATGAAATATGAGACCCCCTTTCTGTTCCCATCAGTCCCATCATTATTGTGAAAACCTTGTGCAAGATATTGCTTTTTCTTTTTCAAACCTTCATGGCTTGCTTTTTTTCCCAAAAAAAAAAAAAAAAACACATTCACATGGTCAAAGTTTTCAGTTCCTCTTTAACGTGTTGGATCTTTGCTGAAATGAATTATGTGAATTGAACGAATACTTTATTTGAGAAGCCTTGACAATGCATAAGCTTTCAGCAGTCAAGCATTCCTCTGCTTTTTGATACTGTGAAGATGCTGCTGCTGGTAAAAGAGGACAGAGAATGCAAATTCATACTAGCCTATGTATCAAGAGCAAAGACGTAAGTAACCTAGCTTGTTAATCTTGGCTGCTATGTTTAATTTTGTTTCCTTTGATACGTGTCTCTCTGTTGCTCGGTTTAATTGTCTTCTTTGATAAGCGTCTCTCTGTTGCTGTAATGAGCTCATCATAAAAGATTAGCCTTACTTCACTTGTGAGGCTCTCTTATGTGGAACTCATAACAATTGCTCATCTGTGTTCACAACATCATGCTTGTATCATGTATTTTCATATTTGCCATTTTCACCTGTTGAGTCCAAGGTTTACCATTTTAGAATCATTATCCTCTCATGGCATGTTAACATTTGCAAATGTTTGGTAGATATACTTCGTTACTTTTATGACCTTCCCACGAGGATATATATTGCTGATATTGGCCCAGTTTGTTAGATAAGAGCGCAGTGAAATTTTTAGGTTGTATCATATCTTCTGATAATAGCAGGTGCCGGGGCACTGAATCAATGAAAAACTGATATTCAGGATTTTTTTGGTTAAAATTTAATTTATCAACAAATTTCAAAACAGGAAAAGCCCTGCACAAATTACAAAGGAAGTGAAGTGGAGAGAGCTTCTACCTCTCACGATGATCCTTTCTATGAATCTTACATTTTGAGGCTTCATATATTGAGGACAAGAATTGAGTAAAATCTTTAGGGCATTTGTTATCACTTACCAAGTTTCCTCATTAGATCATTGTGTGAAGAAACATTTTTTGAACGGCCCAGTCATGCCGTGGTCAGCTATAAAAAATCTCTTATCGTATCATATATTATATATATATATATATTATATATCGCAGAACTCGAGATAGTGAATTCCTTAAAACTTTACCTAGTTTTTTTCCCCTATATTAAACTAGAAATAAGGTGGAGCAGTTATTGCTAATCCGAAACTGTAAAATCATTTTCAATCTCATTGCCCAGTATCAAAATCTTATCCTCATTGATCAGTGTCAAAATTTATCGTTTCATTATCATTACTCAGTATCAAAATCTCTTTCCGTGTATCCAAAAAAAAAAAAAAAAAAAAAAATCTGTGTTCCCTTGCAAGGTTGAGAGCTAAGGGGTATTAATTTCCCTGTCTTTTCTTCTAAGAGATAGCTTGAACAAAAGTAAGCGGTGAGGAATTATCATTTTACCTTCGAGTCTTTACTACTTATTAAGTCCCTATTAGGGTATTAACCAAGTTCAAGCTTCACTTTCCCAGAGAACATTCATGATTTTTCTTTGAACTCAATCTGTTCATCCTTGATCCTTCCACGGTGTTTTGGTGCTTCAATGAATATTCATGTCCCGTAACCCCTTGTTGTCTAAATTCTGCAAGGCAAACGTCTTCAATTGTTCTGTTGAGCTTATGATTATTTTGCATGTCTAATTATCAATATAGTAACATGATATAAGCATAAAATTTTTGCAACTTTTGAAAGCCATGGCTAATAGTATTAATCACTGTTCATTTGTTTGTTTACTAATGATAATTATGTTATGGTTTTGATCTAAATTTCATAGTGTTGAAAATCAAGTTAACCTAGCCGGTTACACCAGTAAACTCTTAACAAATGTCTTGATCAGTTCAATAAAATGTTTTGTTTGTTACCTGTTTGACTATCATTCAACCATGATCTTGATAAGTAATCCTTAAACTAGTGTTTTGAACGATTCAATAGCCAATATGGTTTTTAGTACCTTGTGAAATTCTTAGGATTTCTCATTTAATTAAAATGCACGACCTTGCAGCATCGACATGATGATCGTTAATGAAGCTTTGAAGCACGGATTGCAGATGAAAGAGCTGCCTGGGACAAGGCACATTGTTGGGAATCTTGAAGGAGTCATCTTTGAGATTACTCTACACTAGAACCGTTAAAATATCTAATAAAAACATGTATTTTTCGCTGTCAAATTCGTCAAAAGAATTGCGCAATGGGGAAGAACTTGTTGAAGTAGCTAATGATATTATATTTAGATGTGAAAATTACTGCCTGCATGTTACAATCTCATTATATTCTCCTTCAAGAAATATGTCAAGTAACGAAACAATTTCTGTTGGTGGCCATGGCTCGGCATACTTATAAGTGAAAGGATGATGGAAAGGTGAATTTCAATTTTCTATTGATAAATCATAAGAATTGTAAGTTTTTACCCTCGATTTATCTATATTTCCTAGACCGAGCTTCTTTTATAACAAAATACTTGAAGATGAACTAAACCGAAACTTTATTGTAGTGTGAAAAATGAATTGAATTAGTTATGATAGGATCGTGATTTAACATTAATTTTCTTATAAGATTATTAATTGTCATTTTCCCCCTTTTTTTGGATCATGACTGTGATACAGTTTGATTTTAAGTATTGGTGTTTCGTATCACGGGTAACTACAATGGTGGCAATAGCCACAAGGAAAGAAGAAAATTCTAATCTCGACCAAGTTGGCTTAAACCTCAACATTTCATTGAAATTTCTATCCAACTGAAAATGCAACAGAATGAGTGAGGGGACTTGGTCCTTCCAAATGTATCAGAATCCCTACAATGGTTAGTGTCTTTCTACATCATTATGTCATCTTAATATGCTTAAGAGAAATACAAATTCCAGAAGAATATACACTGATACCTGTCATTTACAAGTCTTCAAAAACATCCAACAGATGCCAAAGCTCCAACTTCGAAAATCCATGACAGCCTCAGTCAAACGAATTCATTCGTCCTGCCCTTTCAGGTAATCCCCACGCAACAAGAAACAAGCCAAACAAAAAATGTCACTATCATTTTCAAGTTTCCATTTTTTCCAAAATGGAATAGCATGATAAATCCAACTCATTCATCTGGCCCATGCCATAAGCAGCAATTAGTAGAGCCTCAGCCCTTCCTGCAATATGACAGATTAGTTACATTACATATATAATCACGCGTGATAAAATACTGTTGGGCACAAATACGACATATTTCAGGGAATGTTGAAAAGCAAATAGCCTAAATGTAGGGTTCATAAGGGATAAAAGACAGTATACATGTGAATTTTACAATTCAGGGCACTGTGAGTCTCCAGAACACGCTTTCAACAAGTATCATGACAGCAATAAGGAATGTAAAAGAGAGAAATCCACACGTTGATTAACATATAATATTTATCCTGCCATGCCTCCTATACAATTAGTGAATCAGCTATATTATATATCTTCAGCTGAAGTTTTAACATTATTCATGTCATTCAGAATTTTGTTTGTTATCTGTTAGTTTCAAGTACCTTCCAATAGGGATTTTAGATGGTCTGTATTTTTTAGTTGATACCAGAGAACCTTTCAGAGAGGCATAAGGTTTAATCCTCGTGGCTCATTCTTGTAATCAAAATAACCAGAAGACAGTGATGTATATCTCTGTTCATTTGTCCCAACAGCCACTGCCAGTTGAAGATCTTCGTATGGAGGGTTTCTTAAAGAATGAAGATTTTTTTTAAGAAAAAATTACTCTATATTCCTTAATTAACTTCCTCATTTAGTGGCCATTTGGTAACTCCTAGAAATAATAAAGAAAAAGATACTGAAAAACTTAGTACTATGAAAGATCAAATAGTGATATCTTTATTCAGATCAATAAAACAAATTAAAACTGCAGCTCTACAAACTGCAGTAGCTCAATAACTCCTGGAGAACCTGCATTGTTTTTAATTAAAGAACAAGCCGGACTTTGAATATAAACATTGCATTAATTAACAGTAGAAGTAATCAGTAATGTTTACACTTTCAAATCATGCAGGATTCTAGGGTTTTGGAATGTCCTGATCAAAATCCTGCCATTACACATTTCCAAAATGATCTTGTATGACCAGGATAGCAGTTGAAAGATGGACTATAAGAAAGACAAAAAATACCATGATCCTTTTTCCTTCTCAACAGCGAACTTAGTGATGGAAACAAGGTAGATGCGACTCTCCTACTGTCATCCTGTAATGTCAGAACTTAGCTATAATTCAAAAGAGGCAACAGTGTAGGAAAAAAGTAATATATATATCAGAATGTGCAAAATTTACAAGTTTATCAACAAACTATATATATATATATATTCTCTCCTTACCGTGGAGTTCATGCAAATATGAATAAACTTAAGAAAAAGTTGCATTTAATAATTAGCCAAAACCAACAACAGTCTTCATTGTTAGGATCAAACAAACCTTTGCAGCCCTACTTCCATTGAGTTCAAATTTGGTTTTCCAGGTATAAGATGGCACTGGAACAACAGAAAATCCAGAGGCGACTAAGATCCCAATCCATAGCCCATACCCAAATCCTCCGCTCCACCAACCCTTGATTACAAAAGACAAGGGAGAAACACAAAAAAATGAGAACAAATACTTCTGGTTGATACAGCAATAGTTCCATCAAAATATGATATTATAAAATGCGTTCTACACATATCTAATAATCATTCTTTTTTCTTTTTTTTTCTCATATCTAATAATCATTCAGTTTTAAAGATTCGCCATTTTCAATTTCTGGATTACACTAACAGTAAGTTAGCACACAATACTTGGCTCAAACAGTCAAACTTGATTATAGACCACCATTTACATTTTACAGAATCCAAATGGGAAGATTACAGAAAAGTCACAATCAAGGAAATTAATTACTAATGTGTCCCCTTAATTTGATTCATCACTAATGGGTCCTTTAGAGAACTTGTGCAAAAATACACCAAATAAGTTGTAAATTTCCAAGTTTGACTCATAAATATCAAAAGAGGACTTGTAAAAAATTCTCAATTAAACCCTAAACCACAGAAGTGGGGAAAATTTTCTACTAGTCCTGTGATATTTATGCGTCAAACTTGGAAATTTACAGCTTAACCTATACATCCATTCTCCCAAGAAGGGCGTTCAATAAGTGCAATCCACTCCCACGAGAGGGAAAACTTTAAGACAGCCAATTTTCTCTCTTATTTGTGGAATTGATACAATTAACTCAAATCATCCAAATGCAAATGGGGAACAGTGACGTGGCCACATTGACAATGAATTACAAGGGTCTTTCAATAGCATAATCAGATTGCAATATGTATTTGCATTTCATATTAGTCCAACCTCACACATCTGTTGCCAAAAAAGTACCACATATCATTTTCAATTATTTGCATCAATTCAAATTTAGAATCATAGCCTTGAAGGTATTGAAATTATCGTTGATTCAGTAGTAGTACCAGACAAGTATTTCCTGATATAGGTCCGCGTTGATATATGCTATTGCAAAACTTTTTAGTAGTTTAGACACAGGAAATACTTTAGGGAGAGAAAGATGCAAGTTTTGATATGCTTTGGAGGCCAATTACAGAAGAAATACATATAGAGGCAGTGGTCAAATCATGATAGAGTAGTTAAACCTAAAACATCAGAATCCAAAAGCAATTTTTGGGTGGAAACCCAAAATGCTAAGAAGTTCAGGATAACTTTTTGGCCTTCAAGTAAAATGGTATTGTAAATTGCACTCCTTTAGGGTATTTTCCTTGATATTTAAGTAACACTCTTCATCAATATATTATTCAGATCAAGGACTTTAACTCAAGCTAAAACAGCTTGATGAGAACGAGTTTAACACCATGAATTAAAGACTATAAGCAAAGGTGAATTTTCATGGTTGAGGGGCCAAGAAAGATGCTCTGGCCAAGGCAAAAGAGGAAAAGATAATTATACTCAAGGACTCTTTAAGGAAGATTTCTTCCCAACAGAGGAAAGTTAGTGCAAATTCATGTGAGCCATGCTTCCCATCTTTAAACAACAGACGAAGGGCCAGGTAACCTCCTCATCTGCATGAGTAACTCAATAAAGCAAAAGGTTGTAGGCAAATAGAAGAGAAACAGCATTAAATTAAAGTCAATAGAAAAGTTCCCAGGGAAAAAAAAATAAGGGATAAGGGACTACACCAACCTGCTTTCCATCATTTGGAAACGGGATTGATTGTTCTATATAAGCAGTGGTTCCTAATGAAAGCAAGAGTCAATTTCGATAAGTCCAAGAATAAAAAGGGTCAAGTGTCAAAATAAATATATTAGAAAGGAAAATAATGCTGACAAATTACTGCAGCAAACTGAGGATATATTACAGAGTGCATGTAATTTACTTTATCAAAGAAATAAGAGAACAAATGCAGAAACCTTCAGCCCAAGACGTGAACCAAAGACATCAGCACTCTGAAATATGTAACCGGATAGGCAAAGTAAAATTTGAAGTGCAATTGAGACCACTAAAATCATTTTTTAGTATTTTGAGATGCAAAAAAATAAGGCTGATAATCACCATAATCATCGCCAATAATAGAAAAAGAACTATCAATTTAGCTTTTCACACAATTATGAATAAAGTCTATAACTTCTACTCATCAGATTTTATAAAGCTTAAGGTTTGTGAAGTGGAGAGGAAAAAAAAGGTTTCGAGTAGTAAAATCCCACGATGTAATTCCAAGCATGAGTTTATTTACTTTGATCACTTCCAGTATATCCATGACTTTCTTTAACTCTAAATTAGACATTCTAAAAATTTTGTCAAAGATGGAAGCAAAACATTTAATGACAAAAACACAAATATATAAGAATAACAGGACAGAGATTCTTATAAGAAACCGATCAAAGGAAGATTATGTCAGCTGTAATGCAATGGCTGAAGAGAATCACAACCTTGAATCAAAAGGAGAAAAGAAAAGGAACTTCAACATAATGAGTAAAATCTACAGGACAAAACAGTGACCGAGGTTGGTATCATTCACTTCTAACATCATTCCAACAACCTGGAAAATATGACATGCATTTGTTTAAAGATAGGGAGAGAGAAAATTTAGCATACCAATAGGAGCCTCAAAACTACGAACCAACTGAACAATAGACTTGGCATCCAAGCGTTTTCGAGTTCCTTTGCCAACAAGTATTTGCACAAATGGAGAATCAAATACCTGTAAAAGTATAAATGGATTAAAAAATAGAAAATAATCTACACGATAACAGACTAAAACATGAAAACCAAGAAAGAGGCCTAAAGACAATTCAGGAATGTTAAAAGGAAATAAAGTCTGGCAATCAGAAATCATCCTCATACATCTTATATGCTTTCACTGACTCTTACTTGATTGATGAGATATAGCAACACCCCAGGCAGAAGTGAACGTCATTTTTTAAAAATAAGAAGAAAGTATTGAGAAGGAAGATAATATTGAAGACCATGATAGAGTAACAAAAGAAAATAAAACATCATGAATTATTCTCTATATACAAACCTTCTCAATAACCAAGCAACAGAACAGTTTCCAGCATCAAGCTTACCAGATTAGCATATAATCTTGTTTTACAATGCAGCAAGTGCATAGAATTCCCCGTCGTTTCTCCACAGGTGGTCAAAATCAAACTACTGTACATTCATACTGATGGAGCGTAGGGATATTAATAGTTTTCAAACCTTGCAATAGAAATCAGAATCCAACTAACCATCTCAACAGAAAGTGATGGTCTTTATTTATCAATAACCTCATCCATAAATTTATGTCCAATTCTGGCATACATATCATATTCCATAAGGCAACTTGATTAGCAAGCAAGTATATTGACAAAATCCATCCGTACCCGCAATCAATAATACGAGCAAGCACACATGAAGAACAAATGAAAACCAAATTGCAAAAGAAAAATGTATCTTTGAAGGATGAACGCGATAATTCCCTGATTTGTTTAAGTTGTTCGTCAACCAAAAGTACTCTTTCTAAACATTTGGCTAACCACAACACACAGCACTTCATCCAACCGAAAAGGAAAAAAACCGTGTTACCTGAGCAGAACAACCGGAGTCTTCGTATTTCAGGAGCCCCACCGCACCAGATATATCTGGGTCAACTCCAATGACCCACTCCGAACCCTCATTGCGGTGGTTCAGGTCCACTCCTGCATCCATTAGGTGAGCCTTTTCAAGTAAGGGGCAAGATAGTGAAGCCAACCAGTTCTCCTTAAGCTGCGCATCAGACTCTTTTACCCTACGCCTCGCACCGTTCCTTCGAACGGGTTTGTCGGGAATTACAGTGTGAGTGTGATTTCGAACACAAAAGTTGATTTTACCAAAAGTAAGAGAGGTGACAGCAAAGGATTTGCCTCTGTCATTGACGGAGGTAAAGGAAATTGCGGTTCTGAACTGGGAAGAGAGTGAGTACATAGAAGGACCTCAGATTTGGCGGCAACCTAACAGCGCATGTTGCATGAAAATATCGCCTGAAATAGAAGTAGGAAGATGGTGGGGTGAAGTGTTGTTTCAAGAAGATGAAGTGGTAAAGCTACACTTGAGCACTTCTGTCAGAGAACCCCCTTCCTTCGATTGCATAGTTCGAACTTTGAACAGTGTCCGAACCTGGCTCCAGCGCGAAAGGATGGGGGGAACAGACTCAACCTCGAATATGCAAACACGCACACACAATATTTCATTTTAATCATTTAATTTTATAAAAAAAAAATTTAGTCCTTTAATTCTGATTAGTTTCAACCGTGAAAATCCGTAGACTTAATTTTTAGCTATTGATAAAATATTTTAAAATATTTATATATTAAATTTAATTTAATTTTCTTAAACTAATAATTATTAATATAAAAAATAATTATTTAAAATTAACCATGTTAAAATTAAAAGACTGAAAAGATGTTTTATAAAATTAAGAGATTAAATTAAAATTTTATGTAAACTTAAAGATAAAAGAATACACTTTAGTCTATATATATATATATATAAATTATAAAACTAAAATTTAATTAATACTGATCAAGTAATTTTTTAATTAAAGATCAAAAAATCTTTATAGAAAACATCATATAATAAAGAAAAAATAATAATAAAATCTCCTGAATTATATAAATGACAATCTAGTTTCTTGAAAAATCTTTTTGGAGACTTACTCCCTCTGTTTAAAAATATAAGGCATTTTTTGATAAGTTGGATGTTTAAAAATATAAGGCATTTTAATATTTCAAGGTGTAATCATTGTTTTTTTCCAAAAGTGCCCCTATTAATAATGACTTTATATTTCTTGTAAGGTGTTTAATAGAAATAAATATGAAAAGATAGAGTTAATTGGAAAGTAAGTAATTACTTTATTAAGGGGTGAGATTCGATAAAAATGTCTTACATTTTTTAACAAAGTAAGTATTTGTCAATAAATTTTAAATTGAAAAAATTATTTTACCCTTATTAAAAATAACAAATCCTAATTATAACTTTTGTTTAAGAAATAACAATTTTTATTCTATGATGAATCGTAAGAGTTGAACAAGAAACTATAACTTATTAAGTGTAATTTCTATTATTAAAAAAACAAATCCTCAATATAATAAGCCACAATCACAACTTTTATTTAAAGAATAACAATTTTTATTCAAAGAATTGTAAAAATTGAATACGAAATCACAACTTGTTAATAAAGATAAAATAATCTTTTCAATTTGAAATTTATTGACATTTTATCTTTATTGACATAGAAGTCTCTAAGAACGTCAATGAAATCATAACATTTTAAAAAATATTATCATTTATATAATTCGAGAGATTTTATTATCATTTTTCTTATAATAAAAACAGGATGGGATATCTTTTATTACCATTAAAGAAAAATATTTACTCAATGTATATATATACACACAGAAGAAAATGAAGCAACTTATATTCGTAGTTAATTAGACAACTTGTGAACAATTAAATTACTCATCATGCTCTCCGCTTTTTAATGATATACTCCCTCCATTTATTGTCGTAAGACATGTTTTTAAGATTTTTTTAACAATTTTATAAATCATTTTGCAAAATGTTCAAAATAATTAGTGCTCCTTTCTTTTGCTCAAAAAAAAAAAAAATAGTACTCCTTTGGATAGCCATCGTATTTTCTTGGTCTTAATTATAAGGGAAAATACCTACCCAATTTTAAGTGTAATTAATGAATGTTTCTAATTGTGCCCTTCATTTGGGGAAAAAAAATTGAATGTTTCGGGATATTAACAAATTGTATTGGTTCACATGAGTCAATTAAAAATGTCTTATAATTATAAAAAAAATAGGTATTATTATTACACATACAATATAAAGTATATTAGTAGTGTGCTTTACCCAATATGTCAGGTGCCATGCGTTTTAACATTTTATCCAAATCTCTCAACCAAAACAAAAGGCTAATGAATTTTGAGCAAGAACCAAAATATTAACCACTAAACCACTAAGCAAAAGCTAAACATTAAATTACCACCGACTGTTGTTGATCTGAATAGAAGTGTCTCCATTTTTCTTAAATAGATCAAAGATTCTAAACATTGTATATGAAAAAAATCACGAGAAAACTAGCCCCATTTGAATTTGACAATACTCTGATATGACTCATCAGCACCGACCACCAAATATTTGTACGAAAAGGAGAAAGAACAATAAGATGAACCCCCATTACATGTTGATCATTGCCAGAACTACAGAATCATTCGATATATATATATATATATATATATCGTGGAATGAATATTCTACAAGGTGCCCATAAATGAGAAGTACTTATACTAATTTACATTGATGGAACTCACATGAATATGCTAAATATTCTCAAAAGGGAGTGAAGGAGGTGATGAAAGGAAGAAACTTAAACCTAACTTTTAAATGTTTGCCCACAAGTTATTCAGCATAATCATGACAGATGAGTTAATTTAATTTAATGCTGACTCATAACAATGATCTACGTGTTATTGTTTTACTAAACAACTTGACAACAAACGCTTCTAATCTCACAGGAAGCCACTTCAAATTCTATATACCTCCTTTAGTCGATGCTTCAGTCTCTGAAAAAACAAAACAGTAAGCCTCTTTCTTGAAATCATGCTCAGGTGAAGATACTTCTGATACTGACGCAATTCCTCCTATCAGTCTAAGATTTCAGAGGGCCAAAGTTGTTTCCACATGGAAATCTCATGAACATTGTCAATCTTCCTGATTCCTCCATAGAAACCATCAGCCTCATTTCCTTCCTCCCTATGATCTTTCCTACTGGCAGTCGCTCGTCGCCATCGTGACCCCCCAGCGTACTGATTGAACTCTAGGACAATTGTGTCTGCAACAAATCGTTCAGTGTCAAATAGTCAGTTTGAATCCCAAATGCCATGATTGGCTGTTGCGGGAATCGTTGTTGGCTTGGTAAATGGACTCCTAATAAACAACTTGTTAACTTCCCAAAGTGGAACATCTTGTTTGACAAAATCTTAAAAACAATTTCAACAAATTGAGACTACCCTTCATCATTTTACTTGTGCTATTGATTTTCACGTTGCCCGCATTTATACTTATCACTATCCAATATCTTATCTAATGAGGGAGTAACATTGCCAATATGGACACATAAAGATCAAAACTCATATGAAGAGAAGTTTTGGCAACAATTCTATTTCTAGCCACATAGTAATTGATCTAATATTTTAAACTACAAGCCCTTGGTGGTTAGACAAACATATCTAAAATATATCAGAGAGCAATCCCAATAGTCACATAGAAACTACTTCTTTGGACTGGACTTGAAAGCTTCCATATAGATTAGAGAAGGACAAGACAATAGTATCATATCTGAAACCTACTACCTAAAATAAAATAACCGCGCGCGCGCATTTATATTTGAAAAATTTACAAAGAGCTTGCACAAAAACATGCATATATTGACAGGACAGAAGCGACATATGTACAATAGTTCAAGTATCATGTCTATCCAAAGCCCAAACTCCCAAAATAAAAGGTTGGCACAATGCTAAGTTGAATAGCGACATGTTCGTTTACTACAAGATAATTTCCAGGGTATAGGGTTATGAAGAACAATCTTAGAAACATAAATTGTGATTCACAATTAGAGCCAAACAAAAAGTGACAAGGCAAGAGGATCACCGCAATGGCAAAATAATCTATATTCACAGTCAAGATGCTGTAAACAGTTGATTCAGTTTGCTGAGGCATCATATTTATCTCTGATTGTTTTATTATTTTTCCGAGCCAAGTTTTGGGTCATTCCAGACAAGCTTATCAAGAGATCAGAAAAATAGGGACAGTATTTGGAAGCTTACAATGACCAAAACTCATTACTCATTGAGGCTCCCGTAGAAAGATTCCTATTGAAACACAGCCTATAAAAGAAATCAGGTTTATAGTTGCCAAGTTGTCCATAAATGATTCCACTAAGATGGATTATAAACGTGCTGATGGAAATGATGACTTACAGATCATGATATGTCTTAGGGACCAATCGAACAGCATAACAATTTTTATTCACAACTAAAGCCAGCCAAAAATGACAGCGCAAGGATCACTACACAAACAAACAATCTATATTCACCGCCAAGAAGCTGTAACGGTTTATTTATTTCACTTGCTAAGCATGATAGTTTTCTCTTGAGCTGTTTAGTTATTATAATTAGCCTGAAGTTCTGAGTCATTCGGTGCATGCTAATCAAGGCATCAGGGGGGCAAAAAAATTGTGGAAGCTTATAATAACTAAAAAATCACAGAAGCCACCACAGTGAAAACGGTTCCTACAAGAATCAAAAACACAGCCTATAAAAGAAATTGGGCTCCTTTAACCTAGTTGCCTAGTGTGGTCATAGAGATTATTATCGTGCTAGTGGAAATGATGACACACCGAACATGATATGTCTTGGGGACCAATCAAACAGCATAAAAGGTAAGAGTCACAGCATGGGCAACTAGGCATGAAACTGCAACAGTTGATTCAGTTTACTAAGGCACAGAATTTTTCCTAAGTAGTTTTGTTTATTTTTTCAGTAAAGAAATCTCAGGTCATTCCAATCACTGTTACAGAGTGGTCAGAAAAATAAGAACAGAATTAGAAGCTTATGATGCCCAATTCATGAAAGCCCATAGAAGATTCCACCTACAATTGAAACATAACCTATAAAACAAGTTGGATTCTTTCAATAGGGCTGTCTGTTTGGACAAAATGATCCGCTAAGACATAGATAGATTATTATGTGCTGATGGAAATGATGACATGCTGACCATGATTAGTCTTGGGGACCAATCAAAACAGCATAAGAATCTTTATTCACAATTAAAGCCAGCAAAAAATGAAAAGGCAAGGGTCACTTCCCACGCAGACAAGATGTAACTATTGATTCCGTTTGCTGGGGCACAATATATTTCTTTCAAGTCCTTTTATTATTTTACTCAAGCAGAAGTCCACGTCATTCCAAGCATACTTACCAAGAGATCAGAAAAATATAAACAAAATTTTGAAGCTGATAATGACCAAAACCCAGGGAAGACCACTTGCGAAGAAGATTCCCCCTAGAAGGAACCACAGAATATAAAAGAAATGGATCCGTTTTAACACAGTCGCCTACTTGGCCACATAAATGAATTCACTAAGACA